ATTCCATGGATCTAATATTCTACTGGATAAAAACATTACATAAAAGGAGGAGGAAACAAAACTAAAGAATAATATGGAAACCTAAGTATGTTATAATGCTACTAAGTATGTTATAAAGACTTGGGCCAGGGCAGGAAAGATGGCTCCATGGGTAGAAGTGCTTGTTGTACAACCCTGACCTGAGTTTGAGCCATGAATCTCACAGGGGATGGAGAAAAATCAACTGTGAAAGGCTGTCTCCTGACCTCCACACATGGTTTATGGCACGTGCAAGCATGAGTGTGTGCGTGTACATTCACACACACACACACCCCAAATTGAAATTTTAAACACTTACAGCCAAATTTCTGAAGTGATCTGATGCTTAGAACAGAGCTGACAGGCTATAATATTCATGTTCTTGACCAACCATACTCAGCACTATTGTTTATGGCACAATCCTAACGGCAGTACATAGAAGCAGGAACATTTTCTAGCATGCTGAACATGCAGGGCAGGACTTTTGCCAACCTCTATGGGGAACAGACTCTACCAAATCACAGCTGACAAAGGCTTTACCTAAAACCTAACCTACTATACTGTCTTCTCTACTGTTTTCCCTTTTCTTTGTCCCAATCTAGATCAAAATGCATGGAAATGAATTCCCACATTTGCTCTCTGGTCATATGACTAACCTCTAGAACTCTATCAGACTCAGCTCTTTCATTTAAGGACACACATTACTTTGCTCAGCTACACAACCTCCACCTATGTTATGAACCCTGACTTGCTGACACTGCCACCCACCCCATCATTCCATGTACCAATTCAAGATTATCTGTTCATGCATATTTTCCCAAAGTTCAGCTAAATATATATAAAAATCAAACTTCTAGCCACTAAACCACAATAGGGTAATTCACATATGGCTAAGAGTTGGCTGTACTCTTGATACAATTTTACAGTTAAATTTAAGGTCCATTTGAAATTTATCTAAACAAAGATATCTTCTTATTAATTTTCCTAATCTAAGTATATTCTTAAAAATGGATACAGTTCAAACATACTATGGTATGATACTAAATCTGAGGATGGTATCAAATACAGTTATGCTTATTTTCTGAGTTGGATGATGGTTAACAATGCTCACATTTTCCTAGAAACAGAACATTTCCTATGATTTCACTTAAACCATACAATTCTTTGCATGAAACATTACTATCCCCATCCTATAAATGAGACATAAATGAGATGTAAATAAACATCAATGAAATAGTTGTACACAATCTTGTTAGCTCTTTGGAAGGTCTTATTATTCTAGAGAAAAACTCATTAATCAGAAAAACGATGAACTGAAATGAATATTCAAAAGTAAAAGTCCAATCTCTTCAATAATGCTAATGCAGTTCCCTACCTCACAAAGCTCTCCCACTTTTCTAGTACATTCTCCCTCTGGCAAAAATGTGTTTACATTACTTACCGTAAATGTGCTAAATCTAGTAGGGCAGTAATCTGCCTTGGCCCTCCCTATTCAACCACCTAATAAATCCATATAGGACAGCAAATACTGTAATAGCCATGAACAGGACTTTTCAGAGCTTCTACTAAACCTCTGCCTAGGTTTGCAAAAAAAACATTTTTCAACTTCAGAAAGTATTATCTAATTACAACAAAAATTTTTACAAAATTCAAAATGCAAAATTACATCACACAATTTATGTAGAAATGAAACTTATAAGCAGATCGAGAAAGATGACAAAAGAAAACTCTGTACTTTTACAAATAACAGTAAAATTCCAAAAAATGACAGAACTTAGAATGCATACTTATGAGAATGTACTGAAGAAAAAGAATCCACTTAGAACAATTACATTTTTGATTTACATATATATTTTTGTTTGTTTGTTTTTTGTTTTTTTTTTCCTCTTTTTTTGGTCTTTTTGAGACAGGGACTCCCTGTAGCCCCAGCTGTTCTAGAACTCACTATGTAGACCAGGCTGGCCTTGAACTCACAGAGATCCACCTGCCTTTGCTTCCCGAGTGCTGGGATTAAAGGCGTGCGCCACCACACCGGCAAATATTTTATTTATTATTTTTATTTTATGTGTATGAGTGCATTGCCTGCATGTATGTGAGTGCACTCGTGTCGTGCAATGCCATGGAGGTCAGAAGAGGGCTTCGGATTCCCCTGGAACTGGAGTTAAGGACGGTTCATAGCCACCATGTGGGTGCTGGGAATAGAGCCCCGGTCCTCTGTAAGAGCAGTCAGTGCTCTTAACCACTGAGCCATCTCTCCAGCCCATGATTTTTACATTTTTAATTAATTTATTTATTTTATTTATGTGTATGAGTGTTTTGCCTGCCTGGCAATTCCCTGGGAAGCCAGATGAGGGCATCAGACCCCCTGGAACTGGAGTACAGACAGTTGTCAGCCACCATGTGGGTGCTGAGAACTGAACCCAGGTCCTCTGCAAGAGCAGCTAGTGTTCTTAACTGCTGAGCCACCTCTCCAGCCCCAGAATAACTACATATTTTTAAAAGCTCAAAGCTCAGAATTGTTAAAGGGATTTACTGCCAACTAGGAATTAAGCTGCAAAGGACTAACAAGTTTTTCTTCCTATTCAAAACTCTACTAAGTTCTAAAACTCTTTTCTACACTAACACTGCAATATTTTTTTTCCAGCCCCCCTTCCTCTAACACTGCAATATTAAAAAATATAAAGCTCAGTGCTATTTAACTCTTGGTTAGCATGTGTGAAACCCTGAGTTAGAATGCCAACACTGTAAAATAAAGGAATGTTTGAAACTTGCATTTGTGATTTAAGAAGGCAACCAGAAATTATATTTATTATATACAATGCATATACAAAGAGGTCAACAGGACAATGAAAAAGTAGCTAAACATCAGATCTCATTTAAAAAGTGGGTAAATTAACCATTATCAAAATGGTTAACAAATTCTCATTGGATTTGTTCATTTAATTCCAGCTAATTTTGGCTAACCTAAATTTTATTCAATCATTCTATTAACCACATTCTATGTGCTAGGTAGCTTTCTACCATGGGGAAGAAACAAAAACCTTACCATAGCCTTTATGCCACCCTAAGAGTAACCACTATATAAACTTTCAGAATCCTTCATTTTGATAGTTCCTGTTTGCCAGCCAGAGCCATGCCAATTTGTAAATTCCCTTGGATGAATTGTGACAATTCCAGTAACTGCAGTAATTTGGTTTCTAGAGGTAATTTGTTTTTCTAGATTCTTACCTGCCCTGCCCTAGAGACTCCCAAATAAAGGCCTATCCAGGGGTTCCCTCATTCTTTGCCTGTCTTTCCTTCTTGCTGACCTTTCACTGGTGACACTCTTTTCCTAACTATTCAACAACTCATTCAAAATCAACTAACTCAAATCAAAAATTCATAATTGAATAATATTCTAAGGAGAAACTCTAAAAAGCAGAGGGTGATCTGACATAGAAATATGCCAGCAAAATGAAACATATAATCAAAATACAGAATTTAATGTTCTTACATAAGGCTGAAAGTATTTTTCTTTTAATCTATTTTTGATTGCCTGATTATATTTAAAAAATTATTTAGGTGGCCAGCAACATGGCTTAGGGATCTTGTTGTTAGCTATTGTTCTCCCCATTGTATCAGTAGCCTTACTATAGTTAGAACTGCAGTCACTACAAATACATAACTTTATAGATGTCATGTATTAGGTGTTCATCAGCAGATAGTTTCCCCAAGAATATTCTTACTTAAGTTCACTAAGATGTACAGGTAAGCAAAACTATAAAATCTCACACAATAGGAGGGACAGAAACATGAGAATTGGGAGCGCTACTCATGTGTGCAGGGTTTCTTTTTCTTTTCTTTTTTGGAGGTGGGATCTCCTTACACAGCCTAGCTTGGCAATAGACTCACAATGTGGCCTTGAACTCAAGATCCTCCTGCCTCAGCTTCCCAAGTGTAGGATTACGGGTAAATACTACCGTGCCCAGCTCAGGGTTTCTTTTTATAGTATCAAAAATGCTCTAAAAGTGGTGATGACTGGACAACTTTGGAATATACCACAAACAACTGAACTGTATGCTCTAAATGAGTGAATTTTATGATACGTAAAATATATTTCAATAAAGCCAGAAGTAGGTCCATTTTTAAAAGTTTTGTTTTTATTTTATTTTGGTTTTGGTCTTTTTGAGACAGGGTCTCCCTGTAGCCCCAGCTGGCCTAGAGCTTGCTATGTGGACCAGGCTACCTTGAACTCACAGAGATCTGCCTGCCTCTGCTGGGCCTAAAGGCATGCATCACCACACCCGGCCATTTTAAAAAGTTTTAACAAGTTCTAAAAGCTTCCATGAACATCAAGCTTTTGCTTCCCTTTTTCTTGTCATCTCTATCATTGTGGTCACTAATTTTAAAAGTAAAAATGGAAAGTATGTCATTCCTTTTTTAGGATTCAGTTCTGATTGTGCTTTAAGCAATTACTATTTCCTGGAATTTTAACATAAACCAATCACTCCCAGAAAAGCAACAACAAAAAAATAAAACAAAACTCCTTTAAATGGGTTCTTATACCTGATAATCCAAAATGCTGAACCCCAAACCTTTACAGTCTTTCACCAGCTCAATAATCTTGACTTCAGGAGACCACAGGGCTAATTCCCCATCATCATCTTCAGTATTGACCTCTATACTGTGGTCACCCTGAAAGAACAAAGAAGATAAATGCTTCAAACTACTGTCCTTTCTGTTCTGAAAAGAACAGACACCAGGAATCCCACACACAGTTTCTTTTCAAAATGAGGACTCTCTTTGGCATGCATAGTTTTCCTTTTGATCTTTATAAAGGCGGGGGCATGCTCTGGGGTACTCACAATCAAGGATCAAAGCTTCATAAAAACTCAAGCACTCAGGAATGCAGATCCCTCACACGTTTTTTCAAATGTAAAGTACATGCTTCCTTGGAAGTGTTAACACTGACCTCTTATACTTCAATGAGTTCTGTCATCCCATTAGAAGCATAAAAGGAAAAATATGCAACTTAAGTAAAAAGGTAAACCATGCAAAGCAGAGGCACATAAGATGTTTAAGAAGCAATAACAGAGTTCATAATTTTAGAGACAGAGAGGCCACCAGAAACCAGCTAGAACACAGAGAAATTATTCCTGTTGGCTCCAAGAATATTTCAAGAAGTTTTACTAGAAAATTAAAGAGAAGGGGAAAGGGGAGGAAAAAGGAGAGGGGAGGAAGAGGAGGAGAAAGGAGGAAGGTGGGGGGGGAGAAGAAGGAAGAGGCAAGAGGAACAGGAGGAGGAGGAGCAGCTACAGCCACCAACTCCCTGGGCAAGTAGAAACAGTGAAAATCTGATCTTAGAGCAAATAGGCGAGCACAAATGCCAAGCACACAGGTCCTTTGTTAGTTTTCGCACCCTGACATCCCTCTTTTCCAGACTCCCTGTCCCTTCAGAGAAAACAGTCAGTGCCATGAAGAATCCCAAAAAGCTAAGTGAGACAGAATCTTCTATACAGAATGACAGTGGCTGCTTCAGAAGTTTTTATTATATTGTTTTCATCCAATTATCTTTCCAAAAATATCTTGGCCTTCTACAGACTAAATAACTCTAATTTTTTAAAAGATTTATTTTTATTTATGTGTAAGAATGTAACTGTATGCCCTAAGTATGCAACATGCCTGCCAATGCAAGTGGAGACCAGAAGAGGGCATCAGATCCCCTGGAGCTAGAATTATAGGCAGTTGTGAGCCACCTGACATGGGTGCAGGCAGCCAAACTCATGTCCTCTGTAAGAACAGCAACACTCTTAACTATGGAGCCCTAATTATTAATTAATTAGCCCTTATTAATTAATTAATTTTTAAATTTTGGGGGATTTTGAGACAGGGTCTCCCTGTAGCCGCAGCTGGCCTGGAACTCACTATGTAGACCAGGCTGGCCTCCATCACAGAGATCCATCTGCCTCTGCCTCCCAAAAGCTGGGATTAAAAGCTCCAATCTGCTGGGTATGGTGGCGCACTCCTTTATTCCCAACACTCCAGGAGGCAGAGGCAGACGGATCTCTGTGACTTCAAGGCCAGCCTGGTCTACATGGTGAGTTCCAGGACAGCTGGGGCTACAGGGAGACCCTGTCTCAAAAAAAAGCCTCCAATTTATTTTTTGAAGCATTCTGTAGCTCAGGCTGTCTTGGATCTTGTGTAATTCAGACAGGCCTCAAACTCACAATAATCCTGCCTCAGTTTACTGAGTGTTGGATTACAGATGTGAACCACCAGACATGGCTAAATAATAGCTTTTAGAAGAAGATTTCATATAATCTTAAGTGGTCTCAGCACATAAATGAAAACGCGTCATTCCTACAACAGAACTGAGTGACCTGCATAAGAAATTCATTTGATGGAGTCAAGGGGAGAGCTCTATCATTTAGAACAAGACACCATACAACAACCATTTTCAAAATTAGAATTGGTTTATATCTCAAGCTGTTGTTGCATGACATGAAAAGTCAACACTCAATCCATGGTGGACTAAACACAGCAACAATTTTGTGGTTCTTGGATTACTAACTCTGAAATGAGTGGGAAGAGTCTCCATTGCTAACTTCCGTGTATTTTAGTTTGATGTGAGGAAGTGATTTTCTTTTTAACTCTTATTTTTTTAGAAAGATTATTATTATGTAGGGTATGGTGCCATGGCACACGTGTGGCAGTCTGAGGGCAACTTCGTGGAGTTGGTTCTCTTTCCTCCTTTATATGGTCTAGGAGCTGAACTCAGGTCGCCAGGCTGGCACAGCAAAGCGCCTTTACCTGCCAGGCCATCTCACCAGCCCAGGAAGTAATATTCTTAAAAAGAAATGAAATCTTTCAATACAGTGCTCCATTTGATAATACAATATGATTGGCATTTACTGGAGCATATTCACTGGTCAATAAGAATTAGAATTGTGGCTGAACCATCTAACCAAATAGAGTTTAACGATATAAGAAGGGGCTGAAGAGAGAGCTCAACAGTAAAGAGCACATACTGGCCTTTCAGAGGACATGAGTTTGGTTCTGTGCACCCACACACGGCAGTTCATGCACAACCATCTGTAACTTCAGCTCTAGAGGATCTGACACCCTCTTCTGGTCTCCAACAGGCATCTGCACACACATGGCATACACACACAGACACACGAATAAAAATAAATTTTAAAAAAGAGGAGAAGATGGTATCGGGATTAGTGAAAAAGGAGAACAGAAGGAGAGTCACGACTTTAAGGGACCACATATAATCACAAAAATCAAGATTATAGAAATTTCAAGGCATTCCAGGTGCATGTTCTGAAATATATCACTTTGATATAACCAATTCTGCATAACTCTTGTATCAACAGAATGGAAAGCAATCAACTAATGGACACCAAAGTTGACATTTGGCATAATTCAGGCTGTTGTTCACCACTGTGTTACAGGACAATATGACAGATGAGCACACAGAGTCAGCAAACTCGGATGATGATTTACACCCCTACAGAATTAGATTAAAGGAATTCTTTCTTATCAACTTTCTGAGGGAAGTCACCAGCACATTTCAGTTTACTGAGAATAGCAAACAACACAAAGTATGTCATTTGAGTCCTTCCTTGAAATTTTTTCTTCTTACATTAAAACAGATATTAGCCAAGCATGGAGGCACACACCAATAATGTCAGCACTGGAGAGATAAAGGCAAGATTGTGAGTTCAGTTCAAGGTTAGCCTATGCTATGTAGTGAAATCTTGTCTTTTAAAAAAAGGGGGGGGGCAGACGTGATGGTGTGCATGCCTTTGATTCCAGTACTCAGAAGGCAGGGGCAGGTGGGTCTCTGTGAGTTCAAGGCCAGCCTGGTCTACATAGTGAGCTCCAGGTCAGCTGGGACTATAGGGAGACCCTGTCTCAAAAAAAAAAAAAAAAAAAAAAAAAAGGCTGCCAATCAATAATCATTAAGTTCCTCTTACATATACAGTACAGAACAAGGGATACCAGACAATTTTAAGAAATAGCCTATGTCACAAAGAGCTGACAACTTTCTTGGAAAAGCAAGATTCATCTGTGCTAAAGGATCTATTATACCACTAGACTACAAGATGGCACTAGACTCTCCTGTAATTTAGTCAGTGGGAAACAAAGGTGGCGGTGGGTGGGAAGAGTCGGGGACATTCCCCAGTGGCCTTCACAGAGCTACCCTTGTGCAGAGATAATGCTAAGAACTTTGCACACAATACTTCTTTTCTTTCTCACATGAACTCATGAGGACTGTTCTGTGAGCAGCACCATACTTCAGAAGGACAGGAACAGAAAGCAAGGTCATTTACCCAAAGACTCCCAAACACTAAGCTAAGGTCTACACAACTTCAAAAGACAAACTGAGTTGAATTACAAGTCAAAAGCCTGGGCAAGCAAAGGGAAAGACTTGTGCATTTAAACTGCAATGAATGGACTTGACACCAACATTCTGGAATAGACAGGAAGTGGCATAAAATATGAGGTTCCAAAGGGCAGGTGATGACAGCACATGCACTCAGAGCTCCTTCCACAATTACAGCACTCTCAGCAGGAGAGTTCTAACCTCAGAAGAAGAGTGTGTTGGTCCATGTTCTGACCTTGTGTGTTTATGGCAACTTCTAAACTCACTTTGAAACTGATCAGAATTATTCTTATTTTCAAGGCTCTTAGAAAGGAAAGACACTTAGATAGTGAACACTCACCAACACCCTAACCTTAGTAGGATGAAATGAGCTGAAATAGATGTTAACAGCCATGAATCCAGGCAATTAATTAAAAATTATTTGTTTAAAGTTCTCTAAAATCAAATTGAATGTATAATACTGTCACCAACATTTTCAGAGGGTTTTAGAAGGTCAAACAGGAAAAAATCAGAATTTGGCAAATAAAAAATGTGGAGTAGGTAGGTGCCCTCCCTTTACATAGTAACACCCTCTTTGGGGATCCCTTGTTGAGTGGACACACAATAGAAAGAAACCACAGCTCAGCCCTTTATACCTCCATCTCCGAAAGAGAAGGTTCTGTGGTTCTCGGTTCATCGACTGAGGCCTCGTCATCAAACAGCTGGCGACAGCAAACCAAGGTGAAAGGTGGGGGCACTTCCTTAAGAAAGGAGACTGCTTCTCGGCGAGATCGCCCATATAGCTGCATGCCATTGACCTAGGAAGACAGGGTTACCAGCAATGGGCATGTGCAAAATCAAAAGCAAAGTGTCTTGCTTAAATCAATAAACCAAAAGGAAAACAGGACATTTTTTCATTGTTCCTGCAAACAAAGGGCCTAAATTTAATCATGTTAATTTAGTAACAACTAAAAATGTTTAGAATCCTTAAACATCAAATTTTGATTAAATTGGAGAGAATAAAGTATAAATGTTGGGCAGCGTACCACTGTTACTGGGTAAGCTCTTCACAGCTCTGAGGTTTCTCCTTTGGATAATCCAGTACTCTGCCCTCACTTGCTCCCACTCTCCTCTCCTTCAGTGCACTAAGTATCCCTCATAGCCTTCATAAGTCCTTTTCCTTCTGCATTTTCATTATATGCAAATCTTCAGTGCAAATATCGACATGAAATTTAATGTTACTAAAAGCTGCTCACCTTACAATGCATGGTTGATCAAACCTAGGATATTCTGCTGTCAGAGTTTATATTAGTTCACAACATTTTTTCATATTCCACACATTCTTAAATCATCTTAGGAAAAAAATCACATCTATAGGAAAGAAATCTGTATGACTTGCATGAGCTCCATTCTTAAAAGCATTGCGGTGCATCTACAAAGGAAGTGCATCAGTTTCCAAGTTGTTTCATGAGAGTGTTCCCCATCTTTTTATTTATTATTTATTATCTTATTTTATGTGTACGAGTGTATTACCTGCATGTGTGTAAGTGTACCCATGTTGTACAATGCCTCAGAAGAGGGTGTTGGATCCCCTCAAACTGGAGTTACAGACATTTGTTAGCCACCATGTGGGTGCTGGGAATTGAATCTGGGTCCTCTGCAAGAGCAGTCAGTACTCTTAACCACTAAGCCACCTCTCCAGCCCCCAATCTTTTTAAAATGATTAATCCCTATCGCCAAAATTATCCAAATACTATACATTTTAATATCTAATAATACTCTACACCACAGATGATTTAGAAGAATCAAGCCTATCATGATTTTCATATATGACTAGCTCAGAGTTCTCTCTGCTCTGTCTACAAATCACTGAAAGTGCTCTCTCTGGTACTCCCTAGACGTCAATGAGGTATGAACATGCTCCGGCTGACAATAATCTTTTTACATCCTATTCCTGTCTTCTAGGAAGGGTTAGCAGCATTTTAGAGCTAGTGACACTTCCATGGCATTACTCTCTGAAAGGTATAGTGCAAATGTTCAGATACCTGACAGGGCTGCCTTTACTGGGAGCAGCCTTCCAACAGATCTGCCATTGCACCAGAGAGGAGGACACTGGGTTCCTGGAAGTATTCTGTCAGCAGTGGGGAAAGCCTAGAGTTGGCTGTCACTGTGAACCACTCTCAAGTCTATGATACAGATACACCAGCATTTAGCTATCAGGCCAGACACATTACCCTGTCTCTTAATTACACACACACACACACACACACACACACACACACACGCACGCACGCACATGCACGCACGCACACGCACGCATCAGGAGTTCACTACTGGAAAAGTAAATATCATGCTCCAAGTCTTTGTACTATAAGGAGGTCCAGGGGACAGCAAGTCCAGCAGGAGGGAGAGTCTTCCTTGGAAAAATTCAAGGCAACCTCTACTATACGGAAGGGGCAGGGAGATATTCATCACTGGTGACACCATATCCACAATGCCAGTGTGTGACAAAAGCAGAGCAAATTCTAGAGTCAACTGAATAGCAAGCAACCCGTATTAAATACAGCAAGGAGGCAGAATGGAAGCAGAAATTCTCCCATATATAAGTATTAGTTTGTGCTTCAACAAATTAGAAAATCACTTTTCAGGTTTATATCTTAAAGTACCTTTAAATATTTATTTCACTCATTATTTATTCATTTGCATTGTCTCCCATTATTATAGCAGTGCCTGGTAGTCCTCTTCACTACTCTACTGCTAAAGAGATTGGTCACATTTCCCATTACCAACTCCTAGCTAAGGGGATTTATGGCTACTGTAAATAGCTGTTCTGGGCTGAGACTTGACATTGTCCTCTAACCCCAAAGCATATTTGTTTCTGATTTTAAATTCTAAGGAGTACATTAAACATTTGGGGGCATTACAGAGGGAGTGGAAGCAGGGAGTGGGGGGTGTGGGGGAGAGAGAGACAGAAACAGACAGAGAGAGACAGAGAGACAGACAGAGAGAGAGGAAGGAGGAAGAAGAGGAGGAGGAGGAAGATGGAGGGATGGAGGGTTAGAGAGATTCCAAAAGATCAGCTAGTCTTCTGTCTACAGCAGCAAGATGAACTCACCAGCGAGAGAGAAGGCAAGCAGCAAGAAGCCAGGCATTCTACTCTGCCATGGCCTTATTTATATGGGCTGCCATCAGAGGTAACACCCACAGTTTGGGTGTGTCTTCCAGCTTCAGATGATCCAAGCAAGAAGATCTCTCTCATTTCAGTTAATCCCAGATCCAGTCAAGTTGACAACCAGGATTAGCCATCACAGCACTTCTCTGCCTTTCAAATCTAGGTTTCTTTCTGTATCTCAAGTTTCTTTAGCAGAAATCTATATTTCAGAATTCAAAATACCAGGGCTGTGGATGGAGCTCAGCAGTAGAGCACTTGCCTAGCATACACAGGTTGAGCTTGATCCCTAGTCCTAGAACTAAAAGGAAAAATCAAAACCAAAACCAAAATGGAGAACGAATGATAAATATGACACATATAAGAAAATGTATTACTTTTATATTAACATAAAAAATCACCCCCTTCCCTTGGGGCTGGAGAGATCGCTTAGCAGTTAAGAGCACTGGGTGCTCTTCAAAAGGACCCAACTTTAGTTTCCAGCATGCACACGGTGGCTAACAATCATCAGTAACTCCAGTTCCAGGGGACCTGACACCCTCTTCTGACCTCCCTGGGCACTGTACAACAGGGGTGCACTTACATATATGCACACGATACACTCATACACATAAAATAAAAAAACAACAAATGAAGGCTGAGTGTTCCTAGCCCCTGGGAGGCAGAGGCAGGTAGATCTCTGTAAATTCTAAGGCCAGCCTGGTCTACATAGTGAGTTCCAGGCCAACTGGGGCTACACGGAGACCCTGTCTCAAAAAGACAAAACAAACAAACAAAAAAAAAAAAGCAAAACAAAACAATGAAATATTTAAAAATAAAAGTATTCAAAAAATGTTAAATTTTATTTTGTGTAGACCTTACCACCTAGAACTATAAAATCAACTAAGCTGGTTTTACTCATAATTCCACATCTCCCAAATATACTTTACTTCTCCATAGGTAATAATTATATACCATAGTAATGGTCTCTATTGCATAGATTGTCTCAGAGCTATGGCCATGCCCTGTCAATCAGAAGAGAAAGACATGATCTTAGGGTCAGAAAGAGAACATAAGTCATTTAGTAAATGTAGAGCATCAATCTTTCATAAGCAGCCCAAAGCCACTCCCTTCAACACTCTAAAAATAACTGCCTTTTTCTGCATGAATAATTGATGAATATTTAAGGAGATGGATATGTTTAACCCGACTTAAACATCACAGAATACATAAATCAAAACATCATGTTATCCCATTAGTAGGTATAATTTTAATTTTTTTATCTATCAGTTAAAAGTTAAACTAAGAAAATAAGGGCTGGGTCAAAAAATAAATTCACTAGTAGAGTGCATGCCTAGCATATATAAGGCACAGTGTTCAATTCTCATATACAAATAAATAAATAAACAAGCAACTAACTACATCTTAAAATATGACATAAGTTGATAACCGGTCAAAGCACTTTTCCCTCATACCCTGAAACCCAACTCAGAATTTTTCTCAACACACTACTTTAGGTGTGTGAAAACTAATTAATTGCAGGTGCATCCCAACCTGTGTGCCACTTTAACAATTTCTCTCTTTTTTTTTTTTAAAGATTTTATTTATTATTTTTATTTTTTATGTGTATGTATGTATTGCCTGTGGGTAAGTGCACCCATGTCATGCAATGCCCGCGGAGGACAAAAGACGCTGTTGGATCCCATGGAACTGGAGTTACAGACAGTTGTTAGCTGCCATGTCTGGGATTCGAACAACCAGTGTTCTTAACTGCTGAGCCATTTCTCCAGCCCCTATAATGTCATTTTAAGCAAACATAAATTTTAGAATTCTCTAAATTAGGAGCCATGGTTACCAGGTCAATTCTATTAAACCCAACCCAGGTGTGGTTTGAATGTGAAATGCCCCTCACAGGTGCATGTGTCCAAATACAGTCTCCAGCTGGTGGCACTGTCTGGAAAGGTTGTAGAACCTTTAGGAGGTGGAGGTGGGTCTCTGGGTGTAGACCTTGAGATTTTATAGCTTGCCTCCATTTCCTGTTCAATCTGTGACCAGCTCCCTCATGCTCCTACCACCAAACCTTCCCTGCCATGATGTGCTACATCCCCTCAAATTGTAAGGCAGAATATGCCCTTCTTTCCCCAAATTGCTTCTTGTCAAGTATGTGTCACAGCAATGAGAAAAGTAACTAACATCCTAGGACTTGTTTTGGATTTTTTTTTTTTGGTTAAGATGGATGGATTCTAACTCTTAAGAGAGTCCCATTCCCTTCCTGCAGTCTCTGAGTGTTTCAAAAGAGCACTTTGCTCTGTAGCTCAGGCTGGCTTTAAATTGCTAGTCTCCATATCAGTTTTGGGCAGTATGGAGGTAGTATGATATATTGAATAAACAATGAAATGAGAGTTGAGAAACATGAGCAAATGGCATCATTCTGCTGCTGACTCGGTATATGAAGGTGGGGAAGTCAATGTCTTCTTATCTGTAAGAGATGCTGGTTTTTGTTTGCTGTGTTAGTGATGGTCCTTTCTAATCTAATTAAATCTCTAAGAAAGCAGAGGTGTTTAGAAACCAGATTTTTAAACTGTGGATCACAACCCCATACATGTAACTAAAAGTGGAGGTTGTGAAAAACTTGTTAATAGTAAATGCTTCAGAATTAATTCAAAATTGAATGTATACTAAATCTGAGGGGGTTTGGGGCAACACTTGTCCATGTGGTAATACTTGACTTTACTGTAGGCTTGGTTATGAACACATAACATGAGCACTTTGTACCAACATGTCACACCATGCCAACAGAGACTGCCTGAAATGCCTTGACTCAGATTTGAAACTATTATATTTTATGAATCACAGTGTTTTCACTGTACAATATTTTCTTATAGAAATATAATGGTTTGGCAGTGGATCTAGCTCAGTGGGTAGAGCGCGGGACTAGTATACCAGAAGTCCTGGGTTTGATCCCCAGCACCACCTAAAATGGGATGTAGACGCACATAGGCCTGATGCTCAAGGTTTCAATTATTTTCCTGCCATCATTCCTTAGCCGATGTCTGATTAGTGTATCTTGGAATTATATTATACTAGAATGTTTTGTGATACAGCACCTTCTTGACCATAGCTATGCCATGTTAAAGTTAAGGCTGACTCTAGTCTGAACTTATCAGGCAGTTGGCCCAGGGTATGGAAACACACGTCAGCAAGACCCCAGATGTCTTGGGAACAAGTCAGCATGTTCAGGAGTGCACCTGCTAACTGCAGATTTATGGATTCTGTAGGTTATGCTTGGCTTGTTTCTGCAAAACAGTAACTGTGGCTTAATAGAAGCTTTGCACCTGCAAGCTTGGGAACTTAAACTTTCCACCTTGGTTATGGTATCTCTGTATAAAAGCCTACTTGAGTTCCGATACCCCTTGTGTAGTAGCTAGCCAGCAACGACTTTCACTTGGCAAAACTTTGCCTGAGTGGTCTTCTCTGGTGAAGCACCTCACAACAGTTTGATTATTAAAATTGCTCTTTGAGTTGCTAAGCTTCATAAAAAAAAAAAAAAGAAAAAAAAGTTAAGTGAATTTCGGATTGGAATAAGGACAGAATTTTTAACAATTTCTGAAGTAGACCTAAATATCTGCCATTTTGTATCCTCAAAGAGAGTAATTTTATTTTGATAAGATGTATGTTCCCAAATAAAAACATAATGGTAATATCCCCTAAAACATAAAGTAACATATTATCCAAAAAAACCTATTGGAGGTACAAGGGAAAATTAATTGTATGTCTATAAAACCAAAGAGATTCCATTAGAAAGCTATTTGAATTGATAAAAAAAGAGTTCAATAAAGTGGTAGGATGAGATAAATATACAAAAATCAATATCTAGCATGTATAATAGCAATAACATTGAAATGTGATAAAAAGGAAATACCATTTGTAATATCATTAAAAATAGAATAATGGGGGCTGGAGAGATGGCTCAGCAGTTAAGAACACTGGTTGTTCTTGCAGAAGACCTGGGTTCGAATCCCAGCATCCACCCGGCAGCTAACAACTGTCCGTAACTCCAATCCCAGGGGATCCAACAGCCTCTTCGGACCTCCACAGGCATTGCATGACATGGGTGCACTTACCTACATGGAGGCAATACACACATACACATAAAATAAAAATAATAAATAAAATTTAAAAAAAAAAAACTGTTCGGGTGACAAAGGTCCATGAGTGGAAATAGTTTAAGCATTCCTCTCCTAGAACTGCTCTGACTGACAAGACATGGGGTGGCCTGAGAGAGCCCACTGGGGGTAGCTTTACAGAGAGTAGAGAATTCCAAGGGGACAATCTTAAAACTATACAGAAGCTGGAGATTTTCAGCCCTACTCCTTACTAGAAATAAGCAACAGAATCCATGAATAGATGTGACTACATGTTGCCAAGAAGGGTCAGGGACCAGATCCTTACAAAGCATTTTGCTAAGGAAAATACAAATTACGCTATCAAACTTTCTTGCCAGTCATTCAGACAAACATTCAAAAGGATGTCTCAGAGCCTTAACAGATGGGGAAGATGAATGGAAAATACGACATCTACCTCCTGTACTATCCAATAAGCTGTTTGTGTTTCTCAATATAAAGTGCTCACATTGCATTCGTGTTAGTGACACTAATTTTTCTTCTCCATAAATTTTACCTCAAGAAGTTCATCTTCAGGCTGTAGGAGGTTCAGAGTATCTACAGGACCACCAGGAGCAATTGAAGAGATATAATGGTGCCCATTAAAGGAATCCACTTCCATACCAAGCCTCAGAGTGTGGATAGGCAGCAGCTACAGAAGAACAGAACAGTGACATCAAACACAACAGGGATGGGTACAGTTGCTAATCAACCTCCAACCAAGGACCATTTTGACATGAAAACTTACACCTCTTAAAACTAATCTCCAAAACCCCAAAAGAAAACAATGGGAAAAGAAACAATAAATGAAATTATGAAGTCTTCCTGTTCTCCTTCCACTTCCCTTTCAGTTTCTGAGAATGGAGATAAGGACGGTACCTTCACATCCAAGCCCCAGGACCCCCACCCTTCCAAAAGCGCCCAGGAAATATGCTTGTTCACTGTGCTATAGGGATCCTCACCCCCAAAGCCTCTTAACTCTCCTTTACTACCTAATTAACTTCCACTCACACTTTACTACCAAAGTAATGGAACTTCCAGGAATCCCTGAGTTACTGAACCACCAAGTGAGGTCTAAGACCAACCTGTACACATTTCTATCTCAGATCAAACATACTGTGTTTCTAATTCTTTGTTTCTTCTCTCTCCCTACCATGGCATGGGTCAACCCAGGGCTTTAGAAATGGTTGCAAATGCTCTACCACTGAGCTATATTCCCAGTGCTTGGTTTATTTGAGACAGGGTCCCATGCAGCTTAGGATGACTTCAACTCACAATCCTTCTGCTTCTACCTCTCAAGTGCTAGGATGGCACCAGCACACCCAGATAGAATTCTGTTTTCTTGATTGCCACAGAACAGTGCCAGTCACTGAAGATGGCTCCCTGAATGCTATGCGAATTAGTTTCTAATGGATGTTCATTCCTATTGTCAGTATTCATAAGAATGCTTCTGATTTGGGGGAAAAAAAATCATTTCCATTGTAGCTTTGTTTCTGTTTATTTATAAGGATTCTATAAGTCATAAGTCTTTTGAGTCAGCAATTGAAAGACAATAGCCAATGTCAGAGAAAAAAGATAAATATCTTAGCTACATTCATTTTTTTGTTGTTGTTGACTGCAAAACTCTAGGGTACTAAGTAACTAACTTTCAAAATGGAGCTAATAATTCTCACTAGTGGTAGCTACATAAACCCAAATATGGCAAACCCTACTAATTATGTTTTTTTTATGTTTTATGTATCAACATCTCTAACTATTCTTGATAAGGAGACAATCTTATGCATACCCAATATGGCTTTTCCAATCATTTTCCCAATTCTCTATGAAACCTCAACCCTGAATTGCCACCTCCCTTCAGTCAACTGTTCCAAGTCTCTAGATTCCCATAGGCCTTGTTCCAGGCACATTTCTGTCCTACGACAGACATGCAAGCAGCAAGCAGTCCAGCTGACTAAGCCTCAGTGGCTTAAAAAGGCATGAGGGACTTCTGGCCCTGGTCTAACTTTCTGAAAATCAAGCATTCTTACCACTAGGCACTTTGGGCTGGACAACCATTGCTGACAATAAGCTATTTTAGAACCCTAAAAAACAGGTACAGTTGTTTTTCTGCTCTCCCACTTGTGATTTATTGCTCGCTGCTGTCACCTTACTCTCTTGTCCAGTCACTACCAAATCATGAATGTTAAGACAGAAGGCTCATCACTTCTTTAGTAGTTCATCTAGCAGAGGTGAGTAAAAATCTCAGAGAAGTGGTACTGTAATAACAATTCTCCTACACACCTCGGCCCCCATCTTCCCTTTGTTTGTGAGTCCCACACTATGAGAAAAAGTTGTTGGGTCTCCCCAGAGATCATCTCCAGTGGAGTGCTGGAGCTAGCTTGTATTAGATTATGAAAGCAGATTGTTCAACTTCCAGAAATTCTGAAAGCCAACTGTCAAATGTAGCTACATTTAAAAATTAAGTTGTATAAAGTTGCAATTAAATAATATTAAAGACAAATGTAGTAAATACTTAAAATTCATCACTTACTAATTATTTATCTTATTTTGTTTTGTTTTTTGGTTGTTTTTTGAGCAAAGGTCTCCCATAGCCCCAGCTGGCCTGGAACTCCCTATGTAGTAGATCAGGCTGGCCTTGATCTCACAATGATCTGTCTGCCTCTGCCCCCCAAGTGCTGGGATTAAAGGCGAGTGCTACCATGCCCAGCTTATTTTATTACTTTATTTTCATGAAGCACTTATATCTGTATAATAAAGCTATTCTAAAATTTCAAAGAATTCCAATCAAGCAGACAACTGAGAGAGACAGATGAAATGGTCAGTTTATTTAGTGGCCAAACACAGCTGGGACGGGCAATTCAACAGTCCAGCCTTTGTAAAGGAGTCAGTGACAATAACATGTTGCTGTGTGCTGCTTTCCAATTCAGTGATGCCACTCTAGCAGCCTGAGGACTGCCAGGAAAGAAGTGTTTATGCCACAGACACTGGTAAATACTATGAACTGGGATTTTTTTTCTTTTTCTCTAGAGAGCTAGATATGTACCAGCACACTATTGTTCTAGCAGATATCCAGGTTACATGTAGTGGCTGTATACTACATGCAAAGTATTGAGCAACAAGAAATGCAAGGTGGGTGAAAGGAACAGTGTTGGCCCTCAGAGCTAAGATCCAGTGTGGCAGGAAAGCAAGCAAATGTCTAAGTGAACAGTCAGTCAGTCAACTGGCAGCAAGACTCCTGTGATCCTATGTAGCAAAGGAATGCAGAGAAATGCATCCAAGTGTGACTGCTGGTGACAAGCAAGTGGGTACTCACTCCAGCAGTGCTGCAAGGAGATGGATGTTTGAGGTCTTAACACAGGAGCACAAGTGATAGAAGTTATTTTGTGAAACTGGTCTAGGTAGGCTCTACAAATAGACCTGTGAGATGACACTTAAAAGATAAAATGAGTCAGCCCTACAAACAGCTTGCTGGGGGCCTACTATAGAAGGTAAACAAAAAAGGATTAACTGCTAAATCTTTTATATGAACAAGTGTGTAGATGCAGTGGTGATTATGTCTATATAGAAAGAACTACTCAAACTACATTAAAGAATCTCTGTCTATACTGAGGGACCTTGACAACTTATATAAGAACATATGCCATCAAAGATAAAAGGACTGAAGAGGAAAGCAGCTCCAATCTCCCCTTCCAGTCCACCCATCTCAAGCACCCCATATCACTACTGGTCTCCTCACATAGCAGACGCCCATATCCACTTCCATGGAACAGTGAAGTCAATAGGCTGGGGCATGGAGCACCAAGAGAGACTCACCCATGGCATCTCTGTCGCTTCAGATACGCAGCTGTGCCCAGTAAGGCTATTCTTTCAGATATCTTTATTTCACACATTCTCCCTAGAAAACTTAATCTGCAAACAAAATCCATGCTTCGTCTTCAATCACACTGAACCAGAAATGATGTTTATACAATCTGTCAATCTGGAGGAGGCCTATCTAATATTAGTTCTGAATCTAAATCTGAGTGCAGCTGGGTTCTGAGATGTCATGTTACATTGCTGCAGGCTTCTCTGCAGGAGCAGAGCTGTTTAATTACCTGTCCCAGCTGCATTTAGCAGTCAAACAAATCAACCATTTCATCTGTCTCATTCAGTTGTCCACCCCTTTGGTATGCTGGGATCTTAGGCAGAGCAGGAAGTACTAATGACAGGAGCGGGTGCAGCAGATGATTGACACCTTCACACACACCCCATGTCAGGCTTCTTGATGCTTGTTCAGTATGCTTTGCAAGGGGTCTTATTGAAACTGACAAAGCTAATGAGCAGCAGGGCTCTTGTGATCCTGACGTACACAACAAGTAAAGGATGTGAGGAAAAGTAAAGGATGTGGGGAAAAGAAGTAAAGGATGTGAGGAAAAGTTTCTGAGGAAGGGGTGACCATAAGGGGTGACAAATAAGATCAAGAGAGCTAGAGACTTCAACCCAAAGTGGAGAGGTCTGTCAGCAAACAAACCACAGCTTGTGCGTTTAACTAAAAGCTCTGTTTTTAGGATCCTAAAACAAGACATCAAAATGCTCAAGTGGGAACACAAATGCTATGGCTCCAGGGGAGAAAAACTTCTGGAAAGAACTGTTCTAAAGAGGTGTCAATGGAATGGGGGAGGATACTTCCAAAAGAGTTGTACTCAAAATAAAATAGAACAGAACACAAGAAACCCTGGGGCTGGTTCTCATCACCACATATATCTGCACATTAAGAGCAAATACTAAATACCCATCGGTTTTTAAGGAGTAGGGAGTTACTGAATTAGCATAAACAAAAAGCAAACTTTCTAAGAGGAAACTACATGCTTTTAAGTAAAGATGAACCATAAAGACCTCAAGGTCAGCAATCAACCAATCTAACAGAACACTTCCATTTGCTTCTCTCACCTCTCTAAAATTTTAATTTTAAATATTAAAAAAAATCTGTATGACGTTAATGTATATTGAAAGTTCTCTTCAGCTCTCTCACAACAAGGGCATGTATCAGTTGTTATTTGTTAGTACAGATATCATCTGTGTTACCCGCTTGGCCCATGTAACATCTAAGTTTTAACACCTGATCCAACACTGTACTTTACTCTGTCCCCACCTTTCATCATGGAACTTCCTTTGCCTGGAATATCCACTTATTTTCCTAATCCATTCTTTGAAGTATAGTTCAAATGGTATCCTCCCAATAAGCTTCTTCCATCTGTCTTAGAGAAGTACCATCTCCTTCTTTGAAGATCTACTAGGCATTTCAGCAAGATTTACACAGTCATTTTCAAGGCAGTGAGGAAAGGAGAGATTAAAATTCCTCCAGTACCTCACCCTAGTCCTTCAGAATCACAGTATCACAGTACTAACGACACAAAACAGGGTACGTGCGTTTTTGAAAAAGCTCCTCTGAACTGGGAATGACAATAGCAGTGCGTACCTGTAATTTCAGCACTTGGGAGGCTCAAGGTCAGCCTGGGCCAGACAGAGGCCAACCTGAGCTACATAGGGAAGTAGGGGAGGGAGGACTCTAACGTTTCTAACATGCAACCTGCCCACAGGTCACCACAGCTACGTCAGCTATTTGGTTCTGTGTCTATGTTTTCCATTACAAATGAAGTCACCAAGTATACA